AGAGACAGACAGACAGACAGACAGACAGACAGACAGACAGACAGACAGACAGACAGACAGACAGACAGACAGACAGACAGACAAATAGAAAGTAGTGGTGTGTGTTTTTGTGTATGTGTGTTTTGTCAGTTGTCTTTTTTCTGTATTTGTTTATTGTTCGTTTTTGTTTTTGTTTATTTTGGAGACAAAGACGACAACCACAAAGAAGACATTTTAAAAAAGAAAAACAGTTTTTTACAAAGTCAAAGTTTCTAGAACTTCTCATTTCGGTGTGTGAAAAAACTACATGTATAAAAACTGCATTGTCGTATTCTCTTTCCAGCATTTTTGTTTACTGTTGTTATTATAATCTACACCTGGAGAGTGGATGTGTTGATGGGGGAACTTAAATTGTTGCTTACTTGTGATTTCGGAAGGCGATTTAATTTTTTTTAGGGTTGAATTGGCCTTTTCAAATTATAACTGTAATACTTTTTAAACACATGTTTGTAAAGAAAATGTATCCTATTCTCTAATTTTAAAATAATGATGTTACTAATTTATTCAAATGAATTTTTACAGAGGAGGCAGGGTGTAAGGGAGGGGGACAAGGTTGAAGAGTTGAAGGCAAGGGCTGTATTGTATTATACCTAATCATAAAACAGAATGGAAATCAAGATTAAAATTTAATATAAAAAAACAGTAGGCTGAATGTTATATCAACATGGTTTTCTGTTCTGTTCAGAAAAAAATAGTTAGCAGAGCGTGGTTTCGATCCACGGACCTCTGGGTTATGGGCCCAGCACGCTTCCACTGCGCCACTCTGCTAGTTGTCACCGTGTAAGTCTGTTTATATTTTATCTTTTCGAATCTGATGCAATAGAGAGGACATGTGGTTTTTATACAAGGGAAATAACTCAGTAAATTAGATCTATATCATATCATACAACTTCATGTCTACATCCCCTGTTAGGGTTTTAGTTTTGTTGTTGTTGTTGTTGTTGTTGTTGTTGTTGTTGTTGTTGTTGTTGTTGTTGTTGTTTTTCGTTCAATTAATAAAATCGCACATTCTGGTCTTTCAAAGATTATTGAAGACATGCTGCTGTGTTGGGATTACTTTTAAAAAGAAACATATAACTTTGTATTCAAGCAGGTTTTTCAATTCTGTTTTCTTTATCTAGGAAGGCATGCATGTTGCAACTACATACTATGAAATATTCAAATTTAATTCTCTTTTCTTTGTGTGTGTGCGTGTTTATGATGGTGTTACCACCCCCCTGACTTCTAGGTCTAATTTTTTTAAATGTAAATCATTGTATTGTTTTAATGCTACCGGTTTTAGACTTTCTTCGGAACCTTTGGTCTCACTGTAGTATAACAGAACAATAAAGCAAGCTCGCTCTTATGATATCATAGGCCTAAACAGTCTTTTTTTTTAAAAGTTTTCTGACATGTGTGTCTGTTTTCATCTATCCCTGGGACTTTTTGTTACATTCTTCGTATGTGTTTTCAAACTCCTCCTTAAAATGATGCCTCATCATTATTGTCTTCGACACTCTTGTGCTTTCAACCAGTCAGTGAGGACGACTGCATCAGTCACAGCTCAATTAAGAAACCAGTTTAAAAACGCAGAGATTTGAACCACGCCATTGTCCATCAAGATTAGATGAGTTTATGGGCTCTCTTTTTATCTCACTTACGCTCATTTTCATTTCTCGTCATTAAAAGTGAAAATCCGTAGGCTATGGCTGGGGGGGGGGGGGGGGGGGGGCTTTATTCGTTTATTGTTTTGCTTTTGCTTGTTTTGGGGATGATCACCTTAACAAATAAAAAAGTATACTTAAGCTTAAATATTTTTTGTCTTTGCAGCTATTCTGTTCTCGAATCATTTGAAAATCCTTTGGGACAGCAAAAGTTCACATTGTAAAGAATGTCGCTAGGCCAATGCCTACTTCCAGGTAGGCTAAATTCCCGCTTTGCGTAGAGTGTAGAGTAAGGGTTACGGTTAGTTCCCTTCGACATTACACCTAGATAGTGTTTAAGGTCATTGACTTTTCTCGGCTTACTTGTATCTTCCTCCATTGCCTGAAGAGCTCATAGTTCATTGACTTGACTTCCTCTATAGGAAGGAAGACTGCTCCGTGAGGTAGGTAGGCTTTTGTATTGAATGAGATGAGAGCAAAAAGTTTAACGTAGAGGTTGGTTTGTGCTGTTTGTAAATTATTATGGTGCGTCTTGATATGGAGCGTGTTAAAAGAAAATTGATCTGGTACAACGACGTTACTGTGGATGCCTTATAAACAACAGGATTAGATCTTGGCCCGTCTTGGGGAATCGAGGTTTTGTCTCTCGTCTCTCTACCTCACTCAACTTCAATCTCCCGCCACTGACACCCCTCGCCCTAGTGTCCAAGAGATCTAGAATCTAGATCTAGATCTAGATCTAGAATCTAGATTCTAGATCTAATCTAAATTCTAGATCTTGATATTTAGATCTAGAATCTAATATTGAATCTCCCATCTGGCTGTTACGGGCGTCTGTTCACCGGAGTCGGTGTCTCTGTCCTGTCACCCAAAGTCCCAGGTAACTCTTGCGTTTTAGGCTGCGGTTATTGGTACAATAGTGCGTACCACTCTAACTAGTTATTAGTACAATTGTACCAATAACCAAATAGAGTTATTCGTACAATTATTCGAATTTTGGAGGTTGTTGGGTTGGTAAAAATATGAAGTGTTATACAGACCCGGTAACCGGGAACAAAGTCACGAAGTATACAGACCCGGTACCGTAGGGGAACTCTTTTGTGATTTCGGAAAGTTTCAGCGCCCAGACCCGGTAGTGTGTGTGTGTGAGTTAGTTAGCGAGAGAGAGAGCAGGGGGAAGTGCTAGCAAGATGTTATATATGACATGCCCGCCAGTTGGCAGGAGGGAACGAAAGACAGAGACAAACAACAAAGAAAAAAAGAATGCAAGCGATACACACAGAGAGAGAGAGAGAGGGTGACTGCTCGATTGAAATTATGACATTGTTCTTTCCTTCAAATTGTGATTCCTCCAACTCCAAAACAGGGGGAAAACGATCGTTCATCGAAAAGACATCTGCAATCTTCATTTAGTTTTAGATCTAGATCTAGGCTAGCCTCGAAACTAGATCAATGATTTATATCTGTCTGTCTAGATCTAGACCTAGGCCATAGATCTAGAAGAACCTAGTTCTACCCTGAGCCAAGAGGGTGCTGAAACTTTCCGAAATCACCAAAAAGAGTTCCCCTACCGGGTCTGTATACTTTGTGACTTTATTCCCGGTTACCGGGTCTGTATACACTCCCGTAAAAATAAGCCTAGATCACTAGATCTAGATCTAGTCATCCAGTTGGTTCTCCCCTGGGTTGAGCATCAATGTAATAACTTTAACCAGGCACAAATTGGTAGGCCTAAAAGGAAAAGTAGGCTAGATCTATACTTCTATTAAAACATAAGTAGATCTATAAAATATATATATCATGAACTAGATCTAGATCTAGATCTAGATACTATATATATACATATTATTATAGGTTTCTTTGTTCGGGTTTTTACTCAAAACCATGAGTGGAAATCTTTGAAGTCAAAACAAACAATTATTACAATTATGGGAAAACAATTGTTGGTCAGTCGGGGGAGGAGCAGAGAAAAAGAAGGAAAAAAAAAAAAAGAAAGGACTTTGTTCCCGGTTACCGGGTCTGTATACACTTCGAAAAAAGAAACTTCCGGGACTGGGATTCGAACCCACACTCAAAATATAATACTTCTTCTAACACAGATATGCTGTCACTTCGGCAATCAGAACTATCAACAGAATGAGGTAGATTTAAGCTTAATTATTTTTACAGTATTTACAGCACGGTTTCAACGCAGATTTAGACATGATGTATAGTTTTTTGGACATGGGGGGAACACCATCAATGAGGTGGCTGGCATCAGTCGGCAGATGAGGTCTGAAGAAAATTTTTTTATTTTCAGCTGGTGGAATATTGGAAACACTGATCTTGAATATAGAGTCTCTAGATCTAGATCTAGATTTTTAGATCTAGATCTAGATCTTCTAAGACAGAACGTGTTGGCCTACTATTGTATGGATACCTGTAGCACTTCGTACAATTGTGTGTACAACGTTGTACGGATAACTAGACAGAGTTGTTCACACAATTGTATGGTACAATATTGTACGGATAACTAGACAGAGTTGTTCGCACAATTGTACGGATAACCACTCCGGCGTTTTATGTCCAACAGATTTAATAGCAGGCCACCTTTGTCCTTTATTTATATTGTCACCCCGGGTGAGAATAACCCGTGTCTCGCTATAGGTGAGAATAACCCATTTCTCGCTATTCTCACCCCCCCCCCAACCGGAGAGAATAGCTCCCACCCTGGTGTGGGCATGAGGCAAAGACTCCCGCCGACCTCTCGCTGGCCGATAAAATCATGGCAGCCTCTCTATGCAGACGAGCCTTTTGACTATTCTCACCCGGTGTGCATTCACCGTGATAGGCCAACCAGTGTAGCGTTCACCGTGAACCACAGAATTCTACACTGTGATAACAGAAGTGTAAATTTCTGTGTCATGAACAAACGTTCCAGCGCTCTTGTGTTGAAAATGTGCAATTTTGTCTGTGGCTGTGGGCAGTGAGAACGAGAGAGAGAGGAGTAGCGCGAGAACTTCCGGACAAAACAAAATGGGTACCCACGTAGTTCGGCTCGATTCGAAAAGTTAAATAGCCGTAGCATCTTTGTAGACTACCAAATTAATTTACTTTTTTGTTTTAACATCATTTTTTATCTTTGTTTTTGTCAGTTTGACCATCAACACCGATAGACAGTATTCAGAAAGAGAGAGAGAGAGAAAGAGTAGATCTTTTAGGTGTGAGAACTTCCGGACAAAACAAAATGGCGAGCCGCGTAGTTTGGCTCGATTCGAAAGTTAAATAGCCATAGCATGTTTGTAGACGATCAAATAGCTTACTTTTATGCTATAACGTCATTTTTTTCTTTGATTTTGTCAATTTGATCATCCACACTGGTAGACAGTATTTTATTAGGAAAAACAGGTATTGTTTCACACCGGGTGAGAATAGCCAACGCTGGCAAGTCTCACCCGGGGTGAGAGGTTGATCGTATTTTTATTCTCACCCCGGGTGAGGATAGCCACTTCCTAAAATCACCTAGGCCATTGGTGGCTTACCGTATGTGGTTGGGAACAAATAATTAATAATAATATAAAAACGTTGTTCGCCTCTCCAGTAAAAAAAAGGCTCCCTACTGATACTGAGGGGCATCGGCCGCCGGCCGGACCATTCATTGTTTACACACTTAACGATGGCTGGCCACTCTGCACACGTAACGAGACACGAGCACGAGACTATGCTCTTGCACGATGGTTGAAGGGTTGTAAATTATTCAGACCAAATGAGAGAGGGCATTAAAAAATGTTAACTAGTTTAAAGTTTAATAATTTTAAGCATTCCAAGCTCTTTCCCTCACTTTAATTTTTTTTAATTTAAAAAAAAAAAAAATGTCATGCCTCTTCTGTCCCCTTCTTCTTGAACATTTGAAGTTTGGAGCCAAAAAAGAGCCAGAGAGCCAAATGAAAGGGCCTACTTCAGTTGTGGTTGGGGCAACATTCTTAGACTATTGTAGGCTACTTCATTAGAAAATGCCTTCAAAAGGTGCTTCGAGAAGTCACCCCTAAAGCAAACACTAAAATCGTTTAAACAAAAATAAAATCCCTCCACACACCCCACCCCCACGCCTCGTTCACACCTTATGCATACACGCACACTTACTCACACACACACACCCGCGCGCATGGGCCACTCCATTCGCAAATTATCAACAAATCTCAAGATCGGAAACCGTTCGGAGAAATAGAGTTTAAGTTTAGACTAAAAAGTTACACTGTGATTATTCTCACCCGGGGTGAGGATAAAATGGATCCGGGTTAGAATAACGACAGCCTAGTATTTTCACCTGTTTTTTTGTTTTTGTTTTTGTTTCCTTCCGCCTTTTTTATTTTGTTTCGGGCATTCTCTGTCTTTTTGGTAGATCTACCCTAATTATTATTCTCACCTGGGTTTTTCGTTTCCGTTCCCGGTGACTAAAATTGCCAACGGGCGGGCCAGCTTTTGAACGCGGGAGGTGGCTATTGTTACGTGTAGATTTGGAGGAAAACCTAATCTTTTTAGCAATTATATAACGTCACCTTTTGTTTTGCTATTATTGGTTCTACAATGGAAAATTTTACTCTTGAGTGGTTTAACCAATCAACCTCTACTTTGAGGCCCTGATATAAATTTTTTCCTGCAAAAATTTTGTCTTGCATGCTTGCCTCAATAAAGGGAACTGGGACACACACACACACACACACACACACACACACATCAAGACCCCATGACTGATTTGCCTTTGATCACCATTTTTTTTCAACAGATAATGATTTTTTTTTCTTTGAGATTCTAATTTTTGGATTTCATAGGGTGGCAGGTCTGTGATTCTATGCCTTTTTTTCCCTCAGAAAGAGGTGTAAGAGGTTTTCCTAAGAGTAAGATGCAGGATTAACAAAGGTGAGCTTGGGAGCATCTGACCAATCATCATGTTTGTGGCAAAGACCATATCTTCTGGACACAATGATCTGATTCACGATGTGTCCTTTGACTACCATGGCAGGCGCATGGCCACATGTTCGAGTGACCAGACAGTGAAGGTTGGTGCTAGCGTTGAGTTTTTGCACAAAAGTTGAAAGATTTGTAATTACAGCCATTACACCTTCAGTAGTTGGAGGACACCACTTGTTTTCTGTTCTTTTTTGTTACTGTCCGTCTTTTTCTCACCACTCAGTGGTCGTTTCCGTGTCAGTCTGCATCATTTTATTCAAGAAAACAGCCATTCATTATTTATGATTATAAGCCTTTTTCACCTTGTGCTTATGAACATAGGCCACCAACAAGAACTCTCCATCTGCTTAAGTTCTGGGCTATAGTCTCCTCTTCTGTCCAGGTGTATCCCATATCTTTAGATGTGGATGTATAAGTATGCTCTAAGTACTTTTAGGCCTTCCGCTCTTTCTCTTTCCTTTGGATTCCATCTTAAGGTTAGGTGGGTCAAGTTTACTTTTGTTTTTTTCAGCGTCCAGTCCACTTTCATTTTCTTTTTCAAATTTCTATATTCTCTATTTTCTGTTGCTTTGTTTGCTCCCATAGTTTTGAGTTAGTAGCGTTAACTACACAGAAATAAAAACTATTATAAATGCACTATTTAAAGCACCTCAGACACCAGATGGCTACCATGAGCTGTCCCGCCAAGAACAAGTGATTATCTTCAGACTAAGGACACAACACACAAGACTGAGACAACATATGTACAAATGTTTTTAACTAGTGCAATCACCAAAATGCCAGTGTGGAGAGGCGGACCAAACTGTTGAAGACACTGCAAGACACACAGGGCCCTGAGACAGGAAACGTGGCCAACCCCACTGATTCTACAAGAGAATCTATACGGGGCGACAGATGAACTGAGCAGGACAGCCCAATTTATGACAGATACCAGACTTCAAGTGTGATGCGATCAAGAAGAAGAAGAAGAGTAGGACATCAAGCCAGTTGATTTTTAGGATCTTCCTTATGGAGCTGTTGACAAACAAATGCATACTTAGCTTTTAAGGAGTATGTTTTGTAAGTTGCCCCATTTGCTGTAAAAGCCATTACACTCGTTACAGTACAGAGGTTTTGGGTGCAGATGGTTGGTGAGCATTCAAGTGTTGCTGGATCAATTTCCTTTCATTGTTGTCTTAGGCTGTTTCATGTAAACATTTCATTTAATGTGCCTTATTTAATATTACCATATAGTTCCTTAACAAGTAGCAGTAAAATCATTCTCATTTGCACTGGGATCATAGTTGTATGGGTGTCTTAGATCATGTGAGATATTAGCAGTTCTTTTTTTGACATTCTCATCTAGTTTGCCTTTTTTTTTTTTTTTTTCGTACAGGTTTGGGATGTGGATGAGGAAGGAGCATGGCAGTGCACAGCCAGCTGGAGGGTGAGGTCCTTATGTGTATGTCTCAACATGTTGTAGTTCACTTGAGTTCAGTGGTTAACTCTTTTGCTTTGCAATTTTTAAAAAAAATTGTAATATGTTTTGCCTTGTTTACAGTCCTGTCCATATTTTGTTCAGCCATGCGAAGGCTTATGAAGAATTGGAAAAGTCATGTATAGCAGTTGCTGAATGGTATTGAAATAACTATTACAACATACAAGGGGCATACAGAGCTGCCAACCTTATGCCAAAAAGGTGTATTTGTAAGCTTTTTCGGCGATTGTAAGATTTTGCACCTCTTTGCCGAATTGTACGACTTTCTCGATCCGATCGATCATCGAAGCGAAATCTCGCTTTGTTTGCTGCCCCGATTTGCGGCCGCCAACGATCCAATCTATCATTAGCACTTCCACCCACGCAGCGTGCAGTCATGCAACACTTATCCCACGGACCAGGATACAGGTGCGGTTCACGCTATATCCCACCGGCACTGATCGGCGTCTCGTGGGGAAAAGGGTCGGCTTCTTACCGTCGCTGATCGGCGTCCCGTGGGGGCAAAGTGTTAATAGGCTCCTGTGACAGCGAATGTACTATTGGACGAAGACACACACACCATCACAGTGACTTCACTTGATTGATTTTGAGCTAATTTTGTTTTGTTTAGGGGTACTTCCGCTGAGTTCATGTTGCGAGTTAGCTTGGACATCTAGACTGTTACTGGTTTAGGTTAGGAAAAATTCAAGACCAGTTTGGACAGTTGTCTTTCCAGGAACTTTCCTAGTGTATGTCGCTTATCCTGACTCTGTTCCACTCCAATTCCACCTGTTAAAGAATGGTTAGTCTTATCAGGAGAAATAGGACAGACTTTAGGGCTTCCCTTTCCAATAGCTTGTTGAATCGATCAGCATTGCAAAATAAAGATTGGCCCAAAATCTTTCAAAGAACCACTGACAGATGGCTTACTTAAATCAGCAACTGTAGCATCCCTCTCTAAGAATACACGGCGGTAAAGTTTGGAAGGTCATTTCTTTTAATTTTTGTGAGAGTTTTAATTGCCTGTGTGTTGAAATAGGGATATTTGTTATATTGTACACTTTTTTAATACAATCTTACAGTCTTTTTAGCTAAGATCTTACACTTTTGTGGCCAGTGGGGTTGGCAGCTCTGGACATACCAAAAGTTTTTTACCTGACCATGAAGGAATAACGGTAGAAAGCTGAAATTTGGGTAAAACCCAACGATCATCTTCCCAGAATGTATGTAAATTTTGGGAAATTTCCGATTACTGGTTTTGACACCTGCACACTGTAAGTAAATGGGGGTGTGATGTTCTCCAGTTTCAAAATAAAAATGGAGAAAATTGAGCACAGGGCAGTCATGAAGTTTTTGTTCTTGCAAGGCGAACAACTTCAGAATATTTTTACAGAGATGCATGCTGTATATTGAACTAATTGCCCATCCTATGCTGTGATGAAATTGTGGTGTAAAAAAATAAAATGCAGATTCATTGACATTGAAAATGACCGCCATGATGGTCACCCAGTGACAGCAACTACAGAAGAGAATGTTTTGAAAATCAAGATACTTTGTGTTATCCAATAGGCGGGTGAAAGTCGAATGTTTGAGCAAAGAAACTAGGCTTAGCATTGGGTCAGTTGAACGAATCTTATATGAACATTTGAATATGACTAAGGTTTCTGCGAGATGGGTTTCACGTTTGTTGACTCCTCAAAAAGTGCAGTGTGTGGAATGTTGTCAAGAATTACTTGGTCTTTATGAAAAGGATGAAACTAAATTTTTTTAAAGACTTTCCACATCCACCCTATTCTCCAGATTTTACCCTGCCAGACTTTTTTTTTATTCCCCAAACTGAAAAGGGGTGAGTGGTTGGCGGTTGCTCTGGTGTGAGTTGCTTTTTTTTTTTGCTATCTAACATCTATCGTCCTTATCTCACCATCTTCTTTTTTATGTTTGTTACTCTCTTGTAACACCTCTAATCTTTTGGGGCTCATATGACCTTATCCAATTGCGAGCGCCGTAAAACCTCTACTAATACTAAACCAAACTGAAAAAGGATTTAAAAGAAAGGCATTTTGAAAGTGATGATGAAGTGAAAGAAGTGGCAGAGGGCAGGTTTTTTTACGAAGAGGGCCTTCTATTCTCAAGGTCTTTTCAAGGTCATACACCAATGGCAAAAATGTATAACTGTGAGAGGCGACTACATAGAGAAAGATTAAGGTTACTATCAAATTTCAGCTTTCTACCTTCATTCTTTCATGGTCAGGTTAAATACTTTTGGTATGCCCCTCGTAATATGTACATTAATTCAGATCCATTAAAATATTTGGGGGGGGGGGTTGGTGAGGAGGGTGTTCGGGTCTAAAAAAATTTAATTCAAATTCATTATTTGTCAGCTCCTGTGATTATGTACACTATAAATTAAACCCACCCTTTACGCTCCTCCCTTAAGACTCACACGGGCTCTGTGTGGCGAGTGACCTGGGCTCACCCTGAGTTTGGCCAGGTTCTTGCCACCTGTTCCTTCGACCGCACGGCTGCAGTGTGGGAAGAGTTGAGCAGCGACGCTACAGCCAAGGGAGCTAACTCCACCAACACTTGGATCAAACGCACATCCCTGGTCGACAGTCGCACATCGGTGACAGATGTCAGGTTCGCTCCAAAACACCTGGGATTGCAGCTGGTGAGAAATTGTGTTGTCCGCTATGTCATCCATTGTATGATGAGTGGGAGTGGGTGGTTTGAGAGTGTCAAGGAGTGAGTTTTACTCTGCTCATGTGTATGTTGTCTTTTGTACAATGAGTAGGAAGATAGGTAACTATTGCTGCGCTGTCAAAAGATTAATCCAGTGGACCCAAGTGCACACCTGAGCGTGACTACCTTTGACATTCTATGCTACAAATCTCAGAAAATGTTGATGTCACGCTTATAGTAGCATTTTGTGTCTCGTCACACTTATATTGGCATTTTGTCGACAAGTTTCTCTGTGATGGACTTAAAGTTGAATTTGGTTTCACTTGAAATGTTTTGTTTCACAGGCTACATGCTCTGCAGACGGCATTGTTCGGATTTACGAAGCGGTAGATATCATGAACCTCAGTAACTGGCAGCTGCATTTTGAGTTTAACTGTAATGTCAGTCTGAGTTGTCTTTCCTGGAATACTTCACGGTGAGTTTGGAATAAATTAATCCTTGCTAACTGCTTTTGAGCTTATATGACAAGTGAAGGGTGCCACTGGTAGGTCCTTCTATCAGTACTCTTATCAGCTATATGCTGTGTAGTTCATTTCTTCTTTTTCTTCTTCTTCTTCTTCTTTTTTTTCTTCTTCTTCTTTGTCTTCTTTCTTTTCCTTTTCTTCTTCTTCCTTTTCTTCCTCTTCTTCTTCTTCTTCCTTTTCTTCCTCCTCTTCTTCTTCTTCCTCTTCCTCCTCCTCCTCCTCCTTCTTCTTCTGTGTCTTTCAGTAAGCTTCTCTTTACGCACATTGAAATGGGTTTATTTTGGGATTTCTTGATGCACTTGCTAAATTTGAGCCTGTCAAAGTTAAAGTGTGTCTCAAGGGTTATTCATATCAGTATGTTTTCATAGTTATTTCTATGCATGTGAATAAATGTGTGTGTGTGTGAGAGGGAGAGAGAGAGTGCTTAGGGCAAAGAGAAGAGAAAGTGGCCATATTTATTCTTGTTGTTTTTTTTAATTTACAAGTGTATTTGTTTATATAATCTGTATTATGAAGTGCACTGACATACACAAAATGAAAATGTGCTTTAATGTGATCCAAATTATTCATTTATTATTATTTCACCTTTTTTGTGACAACTGGTATGACAATACACTCCTTCTTTTCCATGTATGTTCCTCTCAAGTAACACCCCAAATCTTGAGCACTTATATGACCTATTTGTGTTGCAAGTGCTGAAAACTCTGCCTAAAACTAAAAAGGATTACTCGTACATGCGTCTTCACTTTTATTACTGTCTGGGACATTTTTGGGGGTATGTTCAAACCTGCCCTCATATGACCTTATTCAGTTGTGAGCGCCGTAAAACCTCTACTAAAATAAAAACCTGCCCTAACGGCCACCTGCCAAAGACAGTTTCTGAAGCAATCACTTCTCACATCCCCCTTTTATTTTTTAAATTACAGTCAAACCTGTGTAAGACGGCCACCCATTGTTACAGACTGGGTAAACAGTGACCCCTCATCTCATTTACGATTTGTGTATGAGTTCTGGGCGGGGCTTATGAGTTATGAGGCGTCACACGCTTACCTCACCAGCAGCTGAAAATTGGTACCTATTGGTCAACAGTGGGAGGGGCCTAGGCAACATGATCGGTTGGAGGGACTACTTAACGACAACGACAAGTGATTGGATTATGACGGCTCGCCCACAACGCCAGGGGCCAATGCACAATTTATGACAACACGTAATGGAGTCACTAAGGTGGCCGTCTAAGACAGGTGTTATTGCTTTGTGTGATAGGAGTTGTGTGTTAAAATATGGCGGCCGCGTTGGACAGGTGCCCGTTTTACACAGTTAAATTATATAGAAAAAACGCAAGGTGGGAAATTGGCCGTTTGTACAGGTGGCCGTCTTATAGAGGTGGCCGTCAGGGCAGGTTTGACTGTATATTATAATGCCAATGAGCCTATGGGTGGGTTCTCTAGTGTGGTATGCTCCTTTTTTCCCTTCAAACATCTATGTTCTCTCTTGTAGCACCTCTAATCATCGGCATTTATATGACCTCATTGTGTTGCAAGTGTTATAAAACTTACTAGAACTTTTTTAAATAGCCCATTGACATTTTCTGTGTCTGAGCTTTTCCTGTACCTTTTTTTTGTTTTGTTTTCTCTGTGATTAGAATGCACGCTCCAATGATCGCAGTGGGTAGTGACGACCCCAGTCAGTCTGCAGGGGGCAAAGTTCACATCTACGAGTACAGCGATACTGCCAGGTGAGATGGAAAACCTTTTTATATTATATCTGGGTGTATAGGAGATCCAGTGTCTTAGTGGTCAGTGAGTTCAGGTTCATAATAACGCCAAGCATATGTTGATGAGCCTTTGCTTACTTTCGGTTGCTGTTCCTTCTTTAGTTACGGTATCCTCGGCCATTGTGAACCAAAATTTTCCACAGGTATCTTTAAAAATGGTATCTACTCTGTTGAATAGTATTTTAGAAGTTTACTGGCGCGCTCATATGACCTTATGCAGTTGCGAGCACCGTAAAACCCCATACTAAACACACAAAAAACCCAACCCCCCAACTAAGTGAACCCTCACCCCAAGATATTGTTTCTATCTCCATGCAGAGGTCACCTTTGTTAATCTAGAAGCTTTCATTGCATTTCTCTTTTAAATGTTCACAGTTAAGGTGAAAAAAATGGGGTGGTTGGAAGGCACCCCCTTAGGTTGTTCTTCTTTTCCCTCCCCCTGTTGTTTCTGTCAGTTTTTCTTACTTTTCCAATCACTAAATGACTATTATTCGGTAGATGTGCTTTTGTTTACTCAAGCTAAACTGTTTCCGTTATTGTGTGGATATGCTTTACTATAATAAACTAAAAAACTATCTCTTTCTGTATCTTTATCTCTAATTGTTTGTTTTTTTAATTTATTTTTATTTTTTTGCAGGTAGTTGGATGGTGCCTCTGGCAAGTCCCAATTTCTTTTCTTTTGCTCTATTGTTACTGTGTGTCTTACTTTTCCCTGCACTAAAAGATTGTTATTTTGTCAAAGTGCTTATCTTTATTTAATCTCTGTTTTGTTTTTGTTTTTCTTTCTAATTAAAAATGACTTAATGTCTGCTTTATTGACTGGATGTTCTTTGTCAAACCCTTTGGGAAGGTTGTTCTATTTTCTTCTTTCTTCTTTTAAACATACAATGACTTTGTTTCTATGTATGCAGAAAATGGCTGAAGGTAGAGACTCTGCATCTGATCACAGAGCCGGTCCATGACGTACGTTTTGCCCCCAATCTTGGCCGCTCCTACCACCTGTTGGCTATAGCTGCACGGGACCTCACTATTGTCTCCATGAAGATCTCTGGGTGAGTGAGTGCAGGCTGCAAGGACAGAAGGTTTTTGATTGATTGATTGTATATGAAGAGTTACCGAAAAAAAAGCCAACAGGGTCTCAATTTGGTGATTTTGAGAAATGGTTTGGGTTTTTTTAATTTGGAATTTCACATCTAAAAGAAAAACAAAAAAAATCTCCTGTTTTCATTTTCTCATAGACCTTGCTGTTTTTATTCCTGTCAAATATTGTGTCACTTGAAACTGTAGTGTCATAAGGCTCCCGTGGGGTATAACTCAAAATAAAAAGTGTGACATTGCCATATTTTCCCTAGCAGTTTCCGAATGTTTTACAACCGCATTGAAACAGTTTCTATCAATGTTTGCCACCTTGGACAGTATCACCCACTAGTGGGGGGGATTTGGTCATTTTGGTGGATGACGGCGATCAACTGGGCAGTTAAACGTGTTATTTAACTTGCCACTTGGAAGTACATGTCATTAGACAGGGGGAAAAGTTAATATGAGGAGATGGATACCATCCCTGTAATTGTTTCACCTGTGGAGGTGTCTCTTAGATTTTCAAATAATGTGCAACTGAAATGCTTTTAACTCTTTAGCCTTGTCTGGGCAGTGGCAGCGTCCGGTTGTCGAGGAGGTCCGTAACCATGGGTAGACGGTACCACCGTCCGATGCAAAGTTATAATTGTGTTATGGTACGGGCTGAATGTAAAAAGTACGAGCTAACATGCTTTTAGTTTGACCCGAAAGTCAAAGATAAATGAATTATTCGTCTGGGTAATGCTTTATTGACCAGCTTAACACGAAACAAGCAGTCTTAAAAATGAAATATGTCGGGTCGCATTTCCACAAACACAAGAGAAATTCCGTGGAAACGTGATTTTAGATTGCATAGTTAAAGAGTTAAAATTTTATACTGTATGAGGAAATCGTTAATTTGTGGGTTTGTTTCATTTTAAAAAATTTTTTAAATTATTTTTTTAAGGGCAATTTCTAACACATCTTCACCTGCACTGTCCTTATTCCATTTTGCCTTGGTCTCCTGAGCCTAAATGACCTGTGCACCAGAGTCCGTTTTAGTCAACTTTTAGATATATGAGGAGTGCATGCAGTGCTAGGAAAGGTGGAGAAAGTGCTCACTTTTGATGTGTTAAAGGGATAAATATTTAACTAACATTTCCTCTTGTGCATGCACGCACTTCACTTTCAGGAAAGAGTCGGGTTCAAACCCTGGTGGAGTGAGCAAGCCGGAGCTGAGGCTGGTGGGGAGCTTTGACGATCATGAGTCTGTGGTAAGTCTCGGGCGATTACAAAATTGAGGGGAAGGTTTCAGGTATGGGTGTAGCTAGGCTTTTGGATATGATATTACTGTGTCTCTTGAGAGTACATGTGTTTCATATACGTGCATCTACTGTTTCCCCAGGTGTGGCGTGTGTCCTGGAACATCACAGGGACCATTCTGGCCTCCTCCGGGGATGATGGATGCGTACGCTTGTGGAAAGGTTTGTACGGTTTGTGAAGACTTGACTGGAAGCGAGTGACAAACTGCATTTTACCAACTTCAGTACTTTCATTTTTTGTAATTATTTTTTTCTAGGGGAGTGGGTGGTGGGTAAAGAATTGTAGATACACTTTTTTCATTACGGTTGTTCTCTTTTGCTGTATAAGTCTTTGTTTGGAAAAGTAGTTTTCCGCTGCTTAACCTGAGTTTTCTGTTTCGAATTTCAAAAAGCTTGTGAAATATTGTCACCGAAGTAAATCTGAATTTTTTATTGCTCTTTTCCAGTGATTTGTATTTCATTTGAACTCATTTTTGCTTACAAAATAGCAATTACCATTTTCTGTGGGGGGGGGTCAAAATTATTTATTTTACTCAACTATTTTCTTCTTGTTCTGGAAAATTAGAAGACCAATAATCACAAAAATACTCTCCGTTGATGTTTGAAATCCAAATATTGCTCTTCAGTTGCCTGTTTGATAGCCCTCTTTGTTAAATTAATGTTCCTTTGAAATGTTGTGTAAGACGGTTACCTTTAATTATCGAATTTGAGTTAAGGATGAGGTCCCAAAAAAAAAGTAAAAAATGAAGTTGCAGTTTTGTTTCTATGACATTTTGATATTGTTCACCAATAAAAAGAAATTCTGTTTATTATATTTTATAAGGGATAGTGCTTTGCACCTATTCTCTTGGACAGTGGGAAATGACTGTCTGCACTGAAAGCTGATAACTATACTCTATAAATCTTCTTTTTTTTTTTCTTTCTTCTTCATTCCAAGCCCTTCAGTTTTGTTTGTTTTGTTTTTTTAAGATTTTATATGTCGTTAATTAGTTGTTTTTTAATCTCTTATTTGAGTCAGAGAGATAGATAAAGTAATGTTTCTATTGGGAATAAAAGTGGATGTTTTTGACAATGTTAGTGGTGATAATAAAAGAGATGTATACATTTTTTGGACACTCTTCTCCATTTGCAATTATAGCATTATTGCTGCTGCTCCGACTAACGATGATGAAATCCTTTATATCTGTTTTCAGCCAATTACTTAGACAACTGGAAATGTCTGTCTGTGCTGAAGGCTGACAGCAATGCCTCTGAGGCAGAAAGAGCCTCCATGCACCAAGCCAGCATTTCCACCACCCCTACCTCCAACAGCATCAGGTAAAACACACACAAAACTTTTTGTGCTCACGTGGCGCACACCTACCTCCCACTCCAGCCCTCCGTCTTCTACCATCATTTTTGCCATTTGCTTCTTCCGGCCTGTCTAGAGGTGTCTGCATTGTTTCTTCACGTGTTGTGGGTTGTTGAATTATTGACGTCGTGTCAGACAGTCCGTGCTGGATCTGGTCGTATGGCTTTAACTAGTCCTGGGCATTCTCTGAATTCTTTTTTTTTCTTCTGAATTCAGCATTGTTTGCATTTATTTTATTGGGGAGGTTGGATGTTTTTCGATTATTGAAGTCTAATCTTTCGGCGCTTTATATAACCAAATCTTTACTGCGCTAGCAAAATGACATAACTTAGAGTTGTGCCAAAATACAACTGGTCGTTTATTTTGTTTGATGGTGCTGTATTATCTTTTGCTAAAATCCCAAAAAAAATTTGCTGGGAGTAAAAAAATAAACATACATAGCAGGTTTTACCATTATCAGATGATAAATGGTCTAGGTAAACAGTTTTTTCCTTTATCTCGAAAGCAGAGAAAATGAGATGTGCCATTTTGCTTGCACAGTGATGAAATTGTGTTGCAAGTGCCGTAAAATGCTTACTGACAAAAAAAACGAAGTCTAATTAAGGACTTTTGAAAAAGTTGCAAGTATTTTATATGTACTTATGTTCATGAACACTCAGTCTTACCTTCTGGCATGAGATCTTGGGATATTTTTTTTTTCCCAATGGAGATTTGCTGGTCCCCACTACAAGCATGTCACTTTTGTCATGCCAGGTTGTGTCTCAGTTTGTTCAGAATAGAAACGGAAATATTTTTTATTACCTTTGTGTGCTGGAAATTGTTTAATCTCCACAACCTGCCAGCCAGATAGCTTTATTCAGATTCATTTAATTTTTTAATGCCTATTTTTGTAGGTTCTGTGTTCATGTATCAGTATTTCTTTTTAGCAGTTTGTGCTGTTCAAAATATTTTTCCAATGTTGCATTACATACACTTTCTATTTCTTCTACATTGTATGCCGCTGTAGAGACAAATGATTATGTGAACTGCATTTCAACACTGCAAGTCACTACTGTAACTTTTTGGTGCTTAAGTTTTCCTTTTTTTTTTTTTCTTTTGAAGCGTTTTTGAAATTGCTCCTTTTTTATGCTAAAAAAAGTTGTGATGTCTTAGGTTGTCATTGTTAATGGTTGAAAATATACATGAGATACAATTAATTTCTCATCAACGGGCATTTTGTCCAATCATTTTCTGTAGTCGGCAGTTTTGTCCATCATTTCACAAACGTACTCTCTAAAGAGGTACATGTTCTTGAATACCATGTCTGGGTGCCCTTTGAAATCTGCCTTACAAGTCAATCCGCATAAGAACCAGTCTTTTTTTGTTGTTGTTTTGGTTTTTTTGTTGTTGTTTTTTTTGTCTCCCGATAAACAAGTTCTTAGTGGGAGACTATTGATTGTACTCAAATCACATGGTGGAGGCAATGTCTTCTTGCAGTTTTTCTGAGCACTGTCATTGTTTATTTTCTAGCAGGAATCTACATATCTTTAAAACATTTCTTATGTTTTATGAGCCATGTATGTTGAGATTTGTTGATACTCTTGTCTCTGTTTTTACTCAATAGAGTCTGGATTTTTTTTTTCAACCGTCCCTTTCGAATACTGTATATTCTTTCCATCCTGGACAAATATGTGTTCTGCTCTCTGAGAATCAAATTCAAATGTGCATTTAATTTTTTACTTCCATAAAATGTCTTCTTTATTCATCCATCATCTATGCATTCCTTTGTTATGTGCCCAATGATAGTTTGTAGGTTTGAAGAAAAGGAAAGATTTTTGCATATCAATGCAGATGGGTGTTTTGTGCAAGTTAGTAGTTATTGAAAGATGAGCTCTTTTTTAATTTTTTTTAAAAATTGTCTTTCAGTTGAAAGTCAACTAGTTTGAATTTTTCACCATGTCATCTTTATGCCATAGCTGAGTGAATGTACAGAAGGAATCACATATCTCAAACTCAGTCTGATCACTGAAATGTGTTTGTTCTGTGAGCTGTTTTTGTTACTCCATGTTGTTAGGGCAGTCTGTTGGGATGCCGGGATGTGAGTGTATGTGTTGTGGTGTGACTGTACATAGGTTTAGTCATTCACAAACTATTTCCCCCTCTTTCCTTGCCAGTCCTCAATAAATCATTGATATAGGTACTTTCATTTTCTTTACAAAGTCTCCCACATTTTCTAAGAGTTGACAATTTTGGTGCTTAGAGTTGGTTTTTCCCTGACACTATTTTTTTTTGTACTTTATATTTTTTTCTTCTTCATATTGAAACAAACATTTCTACTTTATTTGTTTCGAATAAGTCTTATAACTAACCTCTTTCAACGCCACCTTCTACTTCTCACGTAAACGACACTTCGGTCTGGCATAACCACAGAAACCCCGGCACCGGCAGAGAAAGATTTAAGCTTATCTTGTACTGTCGTCCTAACTCCTCTATTTGAGCTACCTAGCTTTCATGTACCAATGGGTGATATATTCCTACACCTTATAGTTGAAAATATCATCTACTCTGTTGATGACTGGCATGATGATGAAATCGGTTAGAGAAATGGTGCCGGCCTGTGCACACTATATCGAATTGACCACTGCTTTGTTTCTTCAAATTTAGACAAAGTCCATTAGGGTCCATCGCATTGCTTGCGCAACAAAGGATCTCACCCTGCAAAGTCATGTGGCACACAGATGCCTTCTAAAGGGCAGCTTTTCATTTCAACAGTGTTCATTTTAAAAATACCTACTTATGACCTGGAATATCAAACATTGCATTTTCGAAGATTTTGTCAATTGTTCCAAAATAGTAACTTTTGCCCCTCCTGTGAAGGAAAGTCTGGCTGCCCTCTGTTTCAGACCATATCATCAAATTTGAATTTGAGGAAACTTTCTGCTTTGTTCATCAGCCTCTCAGCAAGCTTCCTTTGGTTTGAAAGCATTTTGTTCCTTGTTATCGTGGATACATGAATAGAGGAACAGGAACAGGGTATATGATCTCAACCAGTTGATGAAGTTATTTCTTCACAGCCTGCTGTGATCATCGCGTTATTTCTTCTCTACCACTCAAACAAAATGGCAGATTTGTTTTATTGCTGTGGCGGGGATGCTGCTAGTTTTTTGCTGTTGTTGTTACCTTAGATTTCTCCATTTTCTTCTCACTTTTTGTCATCTGCAAATATGAGAGGTCCTATAACCTTTTGAATAGTTGAAAAGTCCTTGTCCGTTGTGGGGTAAATTCCCATTTTTTTAAATGTATTATGGTTTTTTTTTAAAGTTAGAATGGGCCTTTTGCCCTTTTCCCCACTGTAATGTTCATTTGTCAAAGGGTTGAGTTGAAAGGGTTAAACCACTCAGTGTTGTGTAATTCAATAGTTTTTTATGAACTCAAAAGTTGTTTTCACTGTGATGTGTTGTGGCTCGTAAACATGGTTCCTCACAGGTGTAGTGAGGTATTGTTGTGTGATGAAAAAACTGCTGTAAGGATGTGAGTTAATGACACTGCTAAGTTTTGGTTGTGTTGTATTGGTTGAACTTTAGGGGAGAGTGGGGTTGTCCGTATTGAAAATCGAACTGAAAGGGGGGGGGGGGGGGTGTTAATGACTACACTACAGCCTAATTAATGGTGTGAATTTATGCATGAATAAATTGCTGTGTATGAGGAGCTCTACAAAATAAAATCAATTTCAAAGAAAAGAAAAATTTGGGTTTTTTTGCCTTCTTTCCATGTAGTTTGCGTGTTTTGTATTCTGTTTTAATAGAAAGTAGTGCACCTTCCCCCTCCCCTGTTTGTTAATTGTAGTAATAAGTTACATTGTAATGAGCGTGTCCAGGAAAAGGCATTGAAAAGTCGTAAGAAGTCAAAGTTTAGAATGAAGTGAAATTGACTTGTTATCAGTCTGTGGGTGATAGATAAATCTACATCTGCTAGTGAAGGCTGGGTCAGATTGACTTTTGTCAAACCTTCTACAGCTGACCTGATATGTGCTTATACCTTCTGGTTCTGCCATGTACTTCCATATCTGTTCACTGGTAAAGAAATGCAAGAAGAGAATTGAATCAAACATTTAAAGAGAATCTAAATTTTCCCCATACACTGTATCATTGTGTGAATGAAGATATAAAAATGTAAGACATTTTGTCCGATAGGGCCAGCTACATGGAAAGAGGCAAAAAAGGTTTTTATTTTAGAATGCGAAGTAGCTATGGTTAAATGAAGAAGTGGCTCAGTAATAACAGTGGGTGGGAAAAGATTAATAGTGCAAACATTCATCATCAGAGGTGGATGGGGGCTGGATTAGGTTTCATAATTTTTGTTGGCATTATGCTGTCATGGCACTGAGGGAATGGAGGGCTCAATGATAAGAATGTGTTATCTCCAATATTAAAACTTCCACTTTTTTTTTTCCATTATATTGAAGTGGGATCTTTAATCTTTGCTGCTTGAATAATTTGGTCACAAAACGTGTTCATAACTACTACTTTTATACGGCATCGGTTTAGCTTTTCATTCATCACTATGCAGATCATGAATCAAATAATCATCCTTTCTACGCCTCTCTTTTTGGATATATATAGTCCAGACAGCACGAACACAGGAAACTCAAATTCACGGCCAGATAGGTCATGCAATTTACCATTCCCTAACTAATATCTTGATTATTTTTTCTTTATATCAGTCTACCCGAATTATGGATGGGTCTAACACATTTGTCAGTCCCCGACGTATTTGAGCTATCCATGTCCAACATTATAATGCGTTTTGTCCCTTAACCCTTCAGGTCAAGTGGTATGTTTTCGTAGTCTCAAATTGAATTTAATATGATAGATTTAACAATGCTGAAGTAGCTGGTTAAAACAATTATATGGGTTCCTTCATGCATCACTAAACACAGTATGCAAAAGAAAAATAACCAGTTTAAAATTTGAATGAATCTCCATCT